ATAAATTATAAGAATAAGGTTATAAGAATAAGGTTATAAATACTAATAAACGGCTATTTTAAAAACATATTTTTGCAACTCTACTCTCTTAAAATGAATTAGTCAAAAATAACTAATTACAAGTCATATTTGACTAATTGTCATAGTGAAAAAGCAGTCACTAATAATTAGTCAAATTCCACTGAATGAAATAGTCAAATTAGTAAATTTAAATTTAAAAAAAGTTTTGACCCAGCCTGGGATTGAACTCAGGTCTGTCACTTGACAAGTTTGTCAAGCTAACGTCTTAACGCATTCGGCTGTCAGCCGCTCTTATAAAAATTAATTTTATTTGTCAATAAATTTGGTTCATAATATTTTAATGTTTAATATATTATTTGTCTTGCTATTTTGAGCTAAACTTTTTGCATCTTTATTTGTTTTATGGGTCATTTAACCATGGAGAGGTATATGCATTTAATTCAAATAATACTTTGTTGTTGGCCGTAAACGACTGAAGAAATTAGTTACTTTTAACTGTCAGAAATAGTCAAATATGATGACTAATCTTAAATTAGTCAAACTTTAACTATTTACATAGTAAAAAATAACTATTTAAAAGTGAAAACGACTATTTTATTAGTAAAAAATGCTTTTACTAATTCAAATAGTAGAATTTTGACTATTTCATTTTTAGAGAGTAGGCTTTTATTATGATTCTGTCATGCCTATGTTGTAAGAATTTAAATGGTTTGTTTTATATTACAATTAAATGTAAATTGTATTATATTTTTTATTCCAAATGAACTTTTGATTCCGAATCAATTTGTTGAAAGTGTTATTTAACCTACATTTTTAACCTATGTTTTTTAATTTATGGTATTGTTAACCTATCAACTTGATAAGATCAATAGTTTTAATATATAAAAGCTAACTTACATTATAAAACTTCAATCCGGTTTAGAATATGCTGCGTAAACCGCACTTTACTAATACGTAAAACGAAAGTAAATTCTCATCCCCTAGTTACTCGCAGCTCACAGCTGAAAAGCCGGCAAAACACTAAAACGGCGCCTGAAAACAGACAAAGTTCCGCCGAAATTGCACAAGCGCAAACTATATTAACAAGTCCTGAGTACACTTTGTTAACTTACTCCAGGCATCTTTAAAATCGCTGTAGGAATCCGGTCATTAATTATTTTTAGTAATTATTGTTTGTTTTAAAATAATATAAGGCAAATAAGCAACAATTAATACACAATTTATTCCAAAATAGCTAATACTTTTATAATGGGTTTGTAAGAAAAACTTATAGGACGAGATCCAAATGAGTGATTACTACCCCTTTTGCTTTTTAAACATAATGTAATTTTTGGAGATAATTATTAATAGAGGAATACGTTTCTACCAGGTTGCCTATCAAAATATGGCCGCAAGTATCTTTAATTAAAATTTTATTAATTATTTTTTTCTATAGTAATATATATATATAATAGTATTTTGATAAACGCCATTTTAATAAGGCTTGATAAAATAAGTCTCTGACAACGGGAATAATTAACTCATTATTCAGGGTGTTAGGCATCAGTGATTGGCCAATTTTATTTTTCACTGTGATTTGAACCAATTGGGTTTTAAATTGGGAAAATGCGACTATAATAACATTTAAAATTGGTAAAAAATGAGGTTAACCCTTTGAAAGATGTCAGATTAAATATATATATTTATTTTTTAAACTTAATTTATTATCACTTATTGGAGTAGATAAAGCATAGTAATACATTCGAGATTATGCACATGATTTACTCGGATGATTTAAGTATCTTTTCTGGCGACTCGAGATGCAAACGTCATCCTTGTGAATAATAGCCTGCATTATCTCTTGTATAATAATATACTATTTTCTACGAAAAATGTTATTAGGTATAAAAAACAATGTATTACTAATTAATTTAAATATTTGTATATAGTACCTAACCTGTGAAACTGTTTTTCCGGCTTTCAGAATTGCAGTTGTCAAATTTTTCTGTAAAGATCGAAATTGATGTCTTGAAATGTACTAACCCCAGATAGCACAAAATTGATATCTTTCAGAAATATTGCATTGTTTCTTCTATGTTTCATATTACTAAGGAATATACCTGGTATATCTCAAAAATATTATTATATTTTATATTACTAAGGAATATACCTGGTATTTCTTAGAAATATTTTCTTGTGTTATTACATAAAATTTAAGTTGTATATATTTATTTGAAATATTTATAAAACAAAATCCTAAACATTAGAAAATAGAAATGAGACTATCTACGATTTTTGCAAAAGTTTAATTTAAAAAGTAGCCCAATAGTAGCGCAACGCGTCTTTCTCAAAAAAGTAGGCGCGATACAGTGTTCAAAGTGCGAAAGTCGCAAAATGTGGAAACACTGCAGTGCGTAACGGTCGTAGCCTTTTTTGAAACAGCTGGAGCAGCCATCTTATGTTCTGTGGCAGCCATAGTGTTTTTATTTATCTCTGTTTGTTTGCATTTGTTCTGTGTTCGTTTGTACGAATTAACGAAATATTAAATGTAAGCGTAGTAAATTTTGTGTCTATAACAACCCTTTTTAGGCGTCTCTTAAATCTGCTTAGAAAATACAAAGCGTTGTCGAGGTTTTTAATCTTCATTGCTTAATAACTCAAAAACTACTTGCAGGAAAAAAGTTTTGTAATTTTGAATGCTTAAATAACTTCCCCTACAGCGTAATATGGCGTTGGTCCGTCATTTTAGCGACACCCTGTATAACAGTCTGATTTTTATTAGAAACTACTTTACTATTGACAACTGTACTACAATTTTTCTTTTCAGAAAATAAATAATAACACCGAAACCTAAAAATTTTGAAAAATGAAGAATTTAGAATAAGAAGAATTGATTTTTATTTTATGTCTACCTGGACTGCTGTTAAAGAATAGTGTAACGTTTTTAACTGTTCGTAGTGTGAATAAAAACACGCACTGGTTAATTAACGAACTAAACTATTTATTTAATAACTTAACACTATAAAACTAACTAAACACTTAACTACTAATTATTTATATCACTACTAGTTTATTTATTTGCACTTATATTTATTTATTTCTTCGCGAGTGCCAAAGCTCAACTAACTGCTCTGTGAAGCGCCGTTCCTTATATATTACAGCGCCTACGTCTTCTGGAGCGAGCTCCACACTCTCGATTATTCGAGCGCTGAGTCACCGGCGATGACTCATCGGCGATGAGTCATCATTCCGAGATCCAGAGCCGTACTTGCTACATTGCCCCCGTCTTAAAACATTTTCGTCCCGAAAATGGTCCTCAGCTCCATGGCGATATTTGCATAGGGATCCAAACTTGCATTGTGACGTCCTATAGAAGTAGCAGTCTACGGTCTTCCTTCCGATTGTTCTTTTAGGGTTGTGGCAACAGACAAGAATGTGTATGCCACTAAATCTAAAGATAACTTCCACCATACTTCTAATTATTCTCCAATCTAAACCGTCAAGTCCACAAGCAATCTTCGGTATCGCCAGGTTCATGATGTCCTTGGACAAAAGGGTATCCCTCAATTTATTTAAGGCATTCCATACGTCACGGTACTTTGGCTTATGATGGGAGAGCTGCTTCGTTACCAGATAGAAGATACTTCTATTGCCTATCTGCTCATTATCCACAATTTCAAGCACCTCTCCAACTTTGGGATTCTGCCTTCGTAGCTCGTCAACCCGTCCAAACTTGTTTTTAAAGACAACCGCTATTCCCCTGGACATCCTAAGGTCTTCCGCAACACAGTGAGCCAAGGAGTAATTGGCCGAAACCGTGAACAGATCTTTTTGTTCTTCTCGAGTGACACCATACCGAGCTTTTTTACCGCTCGAATATAAATACATGAAGTCTTCAAAAGGCAAGTCGTCTTCCGGCGGATTAACTCTCCTTACTCTAGCATCGTCTATTTGAGCATTGTTTCCAGCGTAAGGGGCCAATCGGTTAAAATGGATCACTTTCGGCTTTCCTCTTGGTTGTTTCCTGATCCTGTAGATGATGTCATTTATGCGATCCATGACTTCGTATGTTCCTTCCCAAGAAGTCTGCAGCTTCGGTGAATAACCACGACGGCGCTGAGGGTTGTATAACCAAACTAGGTCTCCAGGTTGAAATCCTCCATTTTCCGCCTTGATGTCGTATGCCTCTTTCATTCTATCACTGGCACTCTGGATGTTTAAACGAACTCGGCTGTGAATATCGCTCATTTTTCTACGTAAATTGTTGACGTAATCTTCTCCAGCAATATCATCCCCTGGTAGGCAACCAAACCTCAGGTCACAAGGTAGACGAAGTTTACGTCCCATAACAATGCTAGAATCACATGATCTCCTGATTTTTTATTATCTTGACCAAATGGATATTTTGTTTTTATTAATAAATGTTTCGTTAATGCATTTATATTTTCTTTAAAAGTTTTTAAACAGATTTTTATATTGGGGTCAGTGAGGACTCCTGATAATAGTTATATTGGACGCAAATAATAGGTCAATAAACGAGGCAAACACATGATTCTCAAATTTTTTGTATGTATACAACAACGCACAGCCCCGAACGCATTTATACATTATGTTTGCGTATTTCGCATTTCGCGATTGATAATGCCGTATACATTAAAATTGCCCCCGCGCGCGGAATTGTGCTTTTTAACTATAATAGGATTAAATTTAATATTAAAAAAAAACGCTCAGGCGTATACTGCATTATGGATCGGGTGCGAAATACGTATACCTACAAAATGTTTCAATGCGTAATAAAATATCGGGGTCACGTCTGATCTCAAGATAGTAGTTACGGGTTAAATAATTAAAATAAAGATCTTCATTTGTCATATTAACATTCAATAATTGTAATAAAATAACATTTAATAATTTACAACACTGGCAGAGGACGCCCGGCAGTTCAAATCAATGAAGAACAATTACGATTACTTTATAATGAAGGATGTACTACTACCAGTATGGCATGTCAGCTGGGATGCTCCAAAAGCACCGTTTTTAAAAAACTATATGAGTTTGGTATGCCAATGCGTGAGAGATATTCTGACATATCCAATGACGACCTTATAATTAAGGGTTACCTCAAATACACGAAGAGCATCCTAATGCCGGATTTACGGTAAACAACGTAAGATTTTAAAGCATAGCATTAATTTTAATAATTCTTAGATGATGCAGTCATATTTAAGAGCAAGAGGTATTAACATACAAAGACAGAGAATTAGAAAGGCATTATATACAGCTGATCCCATTGGCACGGCAAACCGATCATTTAAAATTGTCAAGGTAAACATTATTATATATTATAATACATATACTGTACCTTCATCTGCCGAGTGTACATAGGGACAATACATTATCAAGTGGACCAGATAGTACACGGTCATTACTAAGCGAAGAACTTTCAAAAATACAGTTGGTGTGGCACTCATACAAAACAGCAATAAAGTCCCCGATACATGTCGTCGCCTGCCGACGCTCGTCATAGTCGAAAATGTGTTATGGCGCACTTGTCCAACTTCATTTTTAAAAGTTCTTCCCTTAGTGTTTACGTATTATCTGGTCCACTTGATAATGTATTGTCCCTATGTAGACTTGGCAGATAAAGGTACAGTATACAGGGTGCACCAAGTATCCTTATATGTATGGGTATCTTTTATATTTTAAAAGCTACAAGGTCGGTTAAATTAAAAAAATGTTGCGTAATTACAAGTAAGTCTATTAAAATGGCAATTAAAAATTTTAAAAATCGTCAAAATTTCGTTATTTGTGGGAATTTTGAAAAAAAGAAGTTACACATTTATCTACATTTTCATCCAATTTGTGATTTTTTCGCCTACTAGATTAACACAAATATGCTTTAGTAAAATTTTAATAATAACCGAGATACAGGACAATAAATGTAGGGTAATATTTTGAAAATTTGTAATATTTGGAAAACAATTTAATGTATTGGACACAAAATTTGTGCAGTATAGTTTTTAAGGACGAGAAATAAGAATTTGTGATTATTTTTTATGGTATACAGTATACCGTATACTCCTAGAGGACGCTACTGACGAAGGTCGAATTGGGTGAATTACTGCTTACTTTTTTAAACATTTATCGCCCTGTATCTCGGTTAATATTAACATTTATTTATTTTAATCTGCTATACCTACAGTTGCTGTATTGTCCATTAGTAATGGGACACTTTATATATACATAGCAATACATAGGAATATAAATTATTCGTGGGGCAGACCACTTGTTTTTTTTTGGTGGACCTGTGTAATTATCTTTCATAAATTTGGTAAACATGAAAAAAATAATTAAGATAATGATTAAGACCGATCTTTCACTTAACCTATAATTGTCATTTTTTGACCAAATCTTTTTTCCACCTTGTAGGTATTAACTATTTCGGTGCAAAATCGTAAAAAAAATTTTTTAAACACTCTAATTCAACATTTCAATTTTTAATTTGAGAAAATGTGTTTTTTAGATTGGGCTTTGTCATCCATGGATGCATAGATGGCTTCTCAAGGCTAATTGTATATCTAAAATGTGACACTTCTATTCAGGCCGAGCCTGTGTTAAATTTTTTTGCGGCTGCAGTCGGCAGTTATGGACTCCCTTCACGAGTGAGGTCAGATCATGGCTACGAAAATATCCTAGTGGCTATGTTGAATCAACATGGACCGATTTCCCAGTTATGTGGCTTCCTCTTTTTAAACCCCTAATTGTATTCATTAACATTGTTAATGAATACAATTAGGGGTTTAAAAAGAGGAAGCCACATAACTGGGAAATCGGTCCATAACCAGCGCATAGAGCGTCTGTGGGTGGACGTTTTTAAAGAAGTATGTGAAGCTGTATATTGTGAGCTATATTCTCTTGAAGATGATGGTTTGTTGGACGTAGAAAATGTTGTACATATCTTTTGTGTGCAGTATGTGTACAAAAAAGTAGTTAACAATAGATTAGAATCCTTTCAAAGTGCATGGAACCTAAACAGTGTGCGAACCGAAAGAAATAAGACACCAAGACAATTATGGATTGAAGGAGCTTTAACGAATTATAATAATACGTCGACTGCTGTAACCTTTTGTTTTTTTTTATTGGGTTTTATTATTAATTATTACTTATTCTAAGGTTAAACACAATCGACCTGCTCTTACCTATACTCGGAGGCTGGGCATGGGTTCAAAAAAACTTTATTAATATTTGGGCGCCAGTCGTGACCAAATCGACAGGTAGTCTGAGGAATATCAACAATACTAAGTTTAAACTATCAATATAACTATTTATTGTGATTATAAAATTAATAAAACAATATAGTAGAAAACCTTTATAAAAAGTAAACGTGGCAACACTGTCGCATTAGAACTACTTACACATTTTATCTACCTACAATACAATGTCAAAATCTAACCTTAACCTAAACTTACAACTAAACTTAAAACTAAACAAATTCGTGTAATATTGTAGAGGTAAGTAACGAAATATTCACTTTTTGTTCGCTAATGAGATATGTTTTTAGCATGACACTTTGTACACCACAAATGTAAGTACTTTAAAACTACTACCTTAACAACCGGACAAGTGGATATGGTACAGGTGGTTACTGTCTTCAAAATTAATGTCTCCCAATCAGTTTCGTCTAGGTAGTCACACACCCATGACAAGCACTCTACGGTAAGGGCAAAACTTGACAAAAAAAACCATATGTCAACTCCGATTCAAGGTTCCAAAAAATTCAACCAACAATTGAACAGTATTAAACCAACAATTCCATACTAATCCAAACAGCCTAAAAGAAACAATCCTCTCTAGAATCCACACCCTGACTTTTTTGTAAAATTTGTCAACTGTCATTTTCAAGTAGGTACTTTTTTATATATTTTTTTAACAAAAAAACTAAAATACCACATGGCACTGTGACTAATACAAATAATTTAAAACATAAAAATTCACTTACAAATTACTGGAATTATCATTCTTAAAGAGACTATTGATTAAATGTATATTTTTGAATAATATAAAAGTATTAAAATAAAACTAAACCTACCTAGATGGATTTTGGCTGTTATTTTTAATAAAATTATTAGAATCAACTTCTTCACACTATTGTACTTAATCAGCAACTTAAAGCTTCGTTATCAGGCACAACTGCCTTCAGCAATAGCTCAATCGAAAAGAAAATGATTTGCAAAATGTCTTAGGCAAAAAATTTAAGGTAAGTGGGGGACCTTTAGGGATTTTTACTTTCCAATTGTTAATGACAATTGACAGACTAATTGACTTAACCAAATTTTTGCAAAGCAATTGTTTTATGTCTATTTCTCAAAATTACTTATTAAGTTTACTAATTTGCTTATATATATATATTTTTTTTAGGATTCTAGCAGGAGATTGCTTTCTTCGTTGAAGACTAGGACACTATTTCCACTAAACGAACACACCCGGAACACTACATGAACATTTACAAACATGTAACTTTTAAATTAAATAAATGATATTTTTATATTAAGGTATGGTATTATTTTATTATTACTTTTTTTAACGTTAATGTTACCTAGAAATATAGACCGTTACACACCACCCTTTCTTGGATAAAAAAAATAAAAAAAAACTCTATTTCTTAAACCCTTTAACTTTCTCCAATAATTTTTTTTTTTTTATTTTTTTCCTGACTAACCACCACCAACATATATTAAATTGATTAAAGATATTTATGTTAATCTACCATTATCAAGTCATACCTTAAAAAATTAGATCTTAAATTATTTTAATGTCCATTTTAGATATATTTACAATACCAGTTACTGTATACCTTTGAATAAGAAAAGAGATAATTATCATAAATTTTGGTACATTGCTCTCAAGCCAATCAACTTTATTTCTTTACCGCTATTCACTTAAACCCTAATTCATACTTACTACTCACTCAACCTGCTTTCACGAGATCACGCATCCCAAATTCATAAAAAACATTCATTCGTTCCTCTCTTGGTAGGGTTTCAGGTCTTTTTGATGAAATGAACCCTGATTAACTCCTTCCATGTTTTCCAACTGGAATACTAGCGGTGACAGCTTTTTCACTATTCTACATAGAATATATCTAGGTGCTAATTTTGCTGAGAACTTTTCTAGTGCATTGCTTAACACGTAGTTTCTTTTCCACACCTTATCTCCTACCATATACTCTTCTCCTGGCCTTTTTCTTAGGTTATAACTATGTTGACATTTCTGGTATGCTTCTTTTAATTTTCTTTGGACGTCTACATAGACTTCAGGTAAGTTCCCTATGGCCTCAGCATATTTTTCCCGATCAAATGGAGAAAAGTTAAAGTCTTTAGCTTTTCCAGCCTCTCCATAAAAACTTCCATTTGTCGGCACAATTCTACCAAAATTTAAGTAGGCTGGGCTAAACCCTGTAGACTCATGCACAGCTGTCCTTAGAGCAAATCCTATTTTTGGGAGCTCTTGTGGCCATTTTTTATGGTCTCCGTCCTTTATGTACGACCATATCGCTGCTCCTATGACCTTATTAACCCTCTCCACCTGGTTCACCTGTGGATGGTAACGAGCATTGAACCAGATCTTCGCGCCATACTTCTCCGCCAAGTCCTTAAATAGCTTTCCTGCAAATTGCGTGCCGTTGTCTGCTGTAATTACTTGTGGTGCGCCATACACCAAGAAAACCTCGTTCTCCAGAAACTTGACAATGGTCGACGCAATCGCCTGACGCATCGGATGTAACACTACATACTTGGTAAAATAGTCGGATACAACAAGTAAGTAAGCATATCCACCACTTGACCTAGGCAATGGACCTAAAATGTCTATTGATACCATCTGCCACGGAAAACAAACTCTCTTTGGTTTACCCATGTAACCAGGTCTACCATCAGTTCTGGATTTCTGAGCCGAACAGATTTTACAGGACTGAATATATCTTTTAACCAAAGTTTTCATCTTCGGCCAGTAATAACTGTCTCTCACCCTCATAAGCGTTTTGAACACTCCTAAGTGCGCTGCAGCAGGATCATCATGACATTCCTTCAAAACTTTGCTTCTCTGATGCCTCGGGACTACCAGTTTCCACTGCGGAACATTGGTATCGACTACTAAATCTGATAGAAAATGTTTATACAGGAGACCTTCTTCGCTAATCATCCATTCTGGATATTCTTTAGGTTCTTTCTGTACACTTTCACACATTCGCTCGTACCATGGGTCTTTTTTGCAGTCCTCAGCTTCCAAATTTAATAATGCAACTTCTAATGGTGCCCTAGACAAGGCATCTGGGATTACATTTAAAGCCCCCTTCCGGTGCTCTATCTCAAAATCGTGTTGTGATAATTTCACAGCCCATCTGGCTAATCGTCCAGTCGGGTTTTTTAAATTATGCAACCATAGTAGGCTATAATGATCGGTGATTACCTTGAATTTCACGCCTTCTACATATGGTCGAAACTTTTCGATTCCAAACAAAACGGCAGCAAGCTCAAGCTCTGTTACGGTGTACTTTCGCTCCTGATCAGTTATCGTTCTACTAGCGAAAGCACATACCAACTCTTGCCCATCTTCTGCCTTCTGCGTTAATACTGCTCCTAACCCTACCATCGATGCATCACACTGAATATAAAACATCTTGGTGTAATCTGGGTTTGCTAAGATTGGGGCTGTCACTAACGCTTCCTTTATTTTTATAAAACATCTGTCTGCTTCCTCCGTCCACACAAGTCGCTGCGCCTTCTTCTTTCCTTTTATCAAATATGTCATGGGAGATGTCATAGATGAGTAATCCTTTATAAATCGCCTGTACCACCCGACGGTACCTATAAAGCGTTTCATCTGGGTCACGGTCTCGGGTCTTGGAAAGTCCAACATTGCCGCTACTTTTTCTGGGTCAGTCCTCAGTCCATTCTCGTCTACGACGAAACCAAGGTATTTGAGTGATGGTCGGCAAAATTCGCACTTGTCTACATTCACAGTTAGATTTGCCTCCTTAAGCCTTCGGTAAACTTCGCCCAAGACTTCCAGATGCTTGTCGAAAGTGGGGGTAGCGATAATTACGTCATCCAGGTAGACGAACACATACGGGTCAAGTGATGGTCCTAAAACTGAGTCCATCAGGCGTTGTTGGGTTTGTGCTGCATTTGTTAGACCAAAAGGCATGACTACGAACTCATATAGTCCTCTTCCTGGAACAGTGAAAGCACATTTCTCTCTAGATGCTGGGTCCAGGTTAACTTGCCAAAATGCGGATTTAAGATCTACGCTAGATAGGTATTTAGCTCCGGTTAACTTATTCAAGATGTTATCGACTATTGGCAAAGGGTATGCATCACGCTTAGTGACAGCATTGAGCTTACGTCCATCAAAACATAGCCTGTACGTACCATCTGTCTTCTTAACTAACAGAATCGGGCTAGACCAAGGACTTTCCGATGGCTGCACTACCCCTAGCTCCAACATTTTACCTAGCTCTTTATAGATATGTTCCATCATGTACGGTGATAAGTTGTGTGGCCTTTGTTTGATCGGTTCACTGTCACCTGTATCTATCTTATGAACAGCCTTACTCGTCCTACCCAACTTGGTCCCATTTTTCCATGAAATGTCTTGAAACTTTTTGACCACCACTTCTAAATTGTTCAGTTGTTCCTCAGTCAGTCTTTCCTTCGGTTGGATTACATTAATCCGGCCAACTTTATTTGCTTCCTCTACAGAAATGGACCTTCTATTATAGCTCACTGATAGGTTAAATTGTTCGCAGAAGTCAGATCCCAGAATTAATTTCTGACATAACGATGGCACTACTAATACATTAACTATTTTCAACACTCCATCCACTTTAATAGGCAAATTTACAGAGCCTGCAATATTTTGTTTCTTTCCGTCTGCGGTACAGATGATAAAATTTGTGCTATCTGAGACATGAAGTTGGTAGCGGTCTACAATATATAATCCTCTCTTTCCTAAAACTGAATGACTTGCTCCACTGTCCAAAAGCGCTATGACTTCCTCCCCAAAAATGTCCGCTTCAATGTATGGCCTATTGTCACCCGGTTTTTTGACGAATAACGCGTTGTTGTTGGAGATTTCTGGTTTGTTTCTACAAAAATTACTGACCTGTCGGCACCAATTATCCCATTCGGCTTTGGAGGTTTTTATATGGGAGCGCCGTTCTACGCGGAACTCCCTGCATTCCCGTTTTTTGAACACTTAGTACAGTTTGGGCGGATTACTCCTGGCTTTCCACATCCATGACATACAACTTCCTTCTGGTACCTAGACTTGCCGTCTCTCTTCATGTGCCCTACTCCGTTGCATCTGAAGCATCTAAATTCACTTACGGCTCCTCCACTGACTTCCATTTCTCTTGTCAAAAAGGCTAAATCCGGTTCTAAGGTGGAAACATTGCGTTTTGGAGGTGGTTGGTACTTCTTTTGGATCATGTTAGCGTCCTCTAAAATTCTACATACTTCGGTGAGCTTCTCTATAGTTGTAATATTCTGGAGAGCTATTTGAACTTGGTAGCACGGCAATATGTTTCCACGGATCACATCGAGCTGGACTTTTTCCTTTGGCACATCTGTCAGTCGATTGAACATGTTAATCATGGTAGCTATGTACACTGTCACCTTTTCAGATTGACCTTGAGTCCGGTTTCTTATTTCGGTCCACAACTCATTATCAAAGTTCCTCGGTAAGAAATCTCTACGTAAAGCCTTTTTTAAACCCTCCCAATCTTCTACTGAGCTTTTCACTGCTCTAAACCATATTAAGGCCTGGTCTTTGAATAAATCCACGGCTGAATCATACAGTGTGGCTTCCGAGGTGTGTCTCGCTACTCTTAATTCTTCTACTCGTTGTAAAAAACTGTTTACCGAACCGTTCTTGGTAGTGCCATCGAAAGTTACACCCCACTTATAAACGGGAGTGGTTAATTTGTTGGGCACCGGACTGGCCTGGGAGTGTGATGGTACGCTAGTGTTTTCCTCCATAATGTCGTTCATTTCGCACATAAGAGTATAAGGCTCTCGCCTCTGTATTCTGCTTGCTCAGGCTTTGCTTCCGCATCTGGGATCCTTTTCAACCGATTCGTCAGGTGACAATATCTGGATTTAAACCTTTTATAAACATCTTCCTTGGTACCATCAAAGTCATCTTTTACTTCCTTCAGGGTCTTCAAGCTTGTAGTTATTTCAGTCTTCTCGACTGCGAACTCAAAATCAGTAGGAGCCTTATATACAACTGGGTTTTGGGACTCTTGTCTAAGGCACTCCTTTAAACATCTCCGCTTAACAGACATATCGGAGTTTTCGTTAAAAAGTTTTCTTATTTTTAATTCATAGTTGATCTCGTGAGTACGTAAGTGAGTAGGATCCATCGCAAAAATTAATACGTAACAACGAGAGCAATATACCTTTAAATTTACCAAGACGCACCACACAACTAATTAATTTACTTTTTAACTCCCTTTTTTTTTTAACTACCTGACAAGCTAATAATGAAGATCAGTATGTACCCTACTATAGTAGTATAACTGCTAATAAACTTAAAAACTTGTATTGTTGATATAGGGATGGGATAAAAGGGATAGGGACAACCCGGATGTTACCTCGAAAAATAGGCAGCTAAATAAAATTCTGGCCCCACGTTGGGCGCCACTTTGTAACCTTTTGTTTTTTTTTATTGGGTTTTATTATTAATTATTACTTATTCTAAGGTTAAACACAATCGACCTGCTCTTACCTATACTCGGAGGCTGGGCATGGGTTCAAAAAAACTTTATTAATATTTGGGCGCCAGTCGTGACCAAATCGACAGGTAGTCTGAGGAATATCAACAATACTAAGTTTAAACTATCAATATAACTATTTATTGTGATTATAAAATTAATAAAACAATATAGTAGAAAACCTTTATAAAAAGTAAACGTGGCAACACTGTCGCATTAGAACTACTTACACATTTTATCTACCTACAATACAATGTCAAAATCTAACCTTAACCTAAACTTACAACTAAACTTAAAACTAAACAAATTCGTGTAATATTGTAGAGGTAAGTAACGAAATATTCACTTTTTGTTCGCTAATGAGATATGTTTTTAGCATGACACTTTGTACACCACAAATGTAAGTACTTTAAAACTACTACCTTAACAACCGGACAAGTGGATATGGTACAGGTGGTTACTGTCTTCAAAATTAATGTCTCCCAATCAGTTTCGTCTAGGTAGTCACACACCCATGACAAGCACTCTACGGTAAGGGCAAAACTTGACAAAAAAAACCATATGTCAACTCCGATTCAAGGTTCCAAAAAATTCAACCAACAATTGAACAGTATTAAACCAACAATTCCATACTAATCCAAACAGCCTAAAAGAAACAATCCTCTCTAGAATCCACACCCTGACTTTTTTGTAAAATTTGTCAACTGTCATTTTCAAGTAGGTACTTTTTTATATATTTTTTTAACAAAAAAACTAAAATACCACATGGCACTGTGACTAATAAAAATAATTTAAAACATAAAAATTCACTTACAAATTACTGGAATTATCATTCTTAAAGAGACTATTGATTAAATGTATATTTTTGAATAATATAAAAGTATTAAAATAAAACTAAACCTACCTAGATGGATTTTGGCTGTTATTTTTAATAAAATTATTAGAATCAACTTCTTCACACTATTGTACTTAATCAGCAACTTAAAGCTTCGTTATCAGGCACAACTGCCTTCAGCAATAGCTCAATCGAAAAGAAAATGATTTGCAAAATGTCTTAGGCAAAAAATTTAAGGTAAGTGGGGGACCTTTAGGGATTTTTACTTTCCAATTGTTAATGACAATTGACAGACTAATTGACTTAACCAAATTTTTGCAAAGCAATTGTTTTATGTCTATTTCTCAAAATTACTTATTAAGTTTACTAATTTGCTTATATATATATATTTTTTTTTAGGATTCTAGCAGGAGATTGCTTTCTTCGTTGAAGACTAGGACACTATTTCCACTAAACGAACACACCCGGAACACTACATGAACATTTACAAACATGTAACTTTTAAATTAAATAAATGATATTTTTATATTAAGGTATGGTATTATTTTATTATTACTTTTTTTAACGTTAATGTTACCTAGAAATATAGACCGTTACACTGCAATTCATGATATTTTTGATAATAACACAAATCTCCATGAACGAGTTCTAGTATTATTGCGAACTTTGGGATTTGATACAAACCCTATTATTATAGATGAAAATAATTCGAATATTCCAGTATCATCTTTTACTGCTTCAGTCCCAATGAGTGAGCTTCAAACGAATTCATTGAACAATATTGTTTACTCAGCGGACTATACTAATCGACATACAATGTGTTGCAATATTCTCGATTTATAAATCTTAAACAGGTTTTATAATTATAATAATTATTATAATTTTAAATAGTGTTTTTCTTCCATGATTACAAATCCTTATAAAAAATCCAATAGTAAGTAAGTAAGTAAAAAGTACTACAGCCCGTTTTACAATCTGCAGTTCTACATGCAATACCCATGCGTATAGCGACGTTGCGTGCAATTCTATTGCCGTTTCAAAATATCGAGCCTGTTCGATTTTTATTGCCAGTTGCATTCAAGTCTGGAGGAAAATTTATACCAATCCACACTTTGAATTCCCTTTTTGAATATGTGTGTTGTTTCGTATTCTAAATTATATTACATATTATAATGTCGTGTGGCAAAAGGTTAGTTTAATTTTAATTAGTGTTTTATAAAATTTTATATTTTTAGTTGGTTGATATGACGTAAGTTGCCATAGCAATTGCACGTTCAAACGTTAAAAATTTAATGTAGGTTGTAGAGGGCGCTGTCTGCGAAACTTTGCATGCGTTTAAATGGTTACCTATTTTTTGCGCCTTACTGTATTCAATTTACTTTTCAATATTACTTTTTTATCTGTATTACATTAATATACTTTCTAAATGTCGCTACGAGTAACCGTACTACTCCTAGAGGGCGCTAATGACACAGGTCGAATTGGGTGAATAAATACTTTTTTACCCCAATTTGACCTGTGTCATTAGCGCCCCCTAGGAGTACCATTAGATTAGATAATTTTTTAATCCATTTTCAACTCCAATAACTGTTTTCTAAATTATATTTGGGTGTAAAGGACAAATAAGATTAAAAGGTAAAGAACAATTGCTTAACATACAATTTAATTTTTTTTTAATAAATCACATTGTATTCTTATTTAAAGAAAAACAAAATTTTTCATTAAAATTAAATTAAAAAAATTGCACAAAATAAATTAGATCGTATTCAACGAACAAAATGAGATCCATATTCTTTACACAAACAAAAAACAAAATAATAAATTAAATAAAATTAAAAATTGTACAATAACGAAAAATCAATGTTGTGTATTCTTTGGCCTCATCACTGTGTAAACAAATGTTCAGGTCATTTTTCAGGTCAGCATAGTGAGAGTAAGTCTTTGTCAGAGTTATTGTATCAGTTTTAAAAGGTAAAGAACAATTGCTTAACATACAATTTCATTTTTTCTTTAATAAATCACATTGTATTGAATACAATGTATTCTTATTTAAAGAAAAACAACATTTTTCATTAAAATTAAATTAAAAAAATTGCACAAAATAAATTAGATTGTATTCAACGAACAAAATGAGATCATATTTTTAGCACAAACAAAAAAACAAAATAATAATTTAAATAAAATTAAAAATGCACAAAATAACGAAAAATCAATATGTTGTGTATTATTTGGCCTCATCACTGTGTAAACAAATGTTCAGGTCATTTTTAAGGTCAGCATAGTGAGAGTAAGTCTTTGGCAGAGTTATTGTATCAGTACAAGTACTAAAGGTCGGTCGCTGGCTTAGCCCTACAGCATCACTAAACTTAACATAAATATTATCGGGCATTAGAAGAGATCCCGTTATTAGAAATACTAAATTTGCAACATCATCTTTGTCAAGGCAATGTATGTACATTATGAAATAATGATACACTTCATTTTCCTCATTACTTAAAATCGAATCAGTTACAAGGCAATTGACCACTTTTTGAACTGTAGGTGTTTGCATGTCCAGCAACGTTTCAAAATTACAGTTATTCCAAAATAATGGATGACTATTCGGTGACACCCCCTGGCGTATTTTTATAATAATCCTCCTTGGTCTTTCGGTTAAAATCTCTGTACCTATAATAATCAATTGTGACCACAGTGAATTGGCGTTAGGTCTGTCAAAAAATTTATTTGTAAAAGTCAAGAATTATTTCACGTTCTTTCTCTTTTAACAACTGGTAATTTTGAACCCCCTTTTTCAAAACTTTTCGCAAATATGGGTTTAGATAACGAAATAATTCTTGTATTATTACTTCCTCATTTATATCAAGATCAGGATTATTAATTAGCATTACCCTTATGCTCTTGATAATTTCGAAGGTAGTTTATTCGTTAAAATAAGCATATGCTGTAGGACGCGACCAACAATTATAAATTTATCGATTTCATGTACTTTGTTAAGGTCCAAAAATGGCACTAGGCAGTCTTCACCTTTAAAAAAAACATTTTCGCATTTTTGGAAGAAAATGCTGAAAAGTTCTTTTGTCAAGCCTCCACCATCAACACCTATCTCTCCTGTGAAAACTACAATAATTTTTTTATTTACGATGTCTTCATCCTCGTAAAATTTCATAACGTCATTAAAACAATTGCTTCTGGAGACCTCAATGTTTTCTAATTCGGCGTTTTCCGGAAGACTCGGAAACGTTAGGAAACAACTTTGGGTGTTACTATTTTGTCTATTATCTGCAATTTAAGGTTTTTATTTGGTGTAAACAAAAATTAATTATATTAATATGGATAAATAACATTTGATCCGAGGACAAAATACCCGCACCAAAATACTTCACGACAAAATATCCGCAAACCAAAACACCTTTGACAAAATAATCATCTACTTAAAAATAAGGTTTATTAAGTTTTGTTTAATATAAAAAAGTACGGGTATTAAACTACTGGATTGTAGGATTGCCGGCTTAAGTCTGCCTGAGCTATAAAACTTTATATTAAAACGCTATTGCATTAAACCACAACCCAACAAATAATTATTGTTACAATAATATAATTGTACAATTTAATGGTATTTTGGGTTGCGGTATTTTGCCGTGGTGTGTTTGCCGTCGAGTATTTTTTCATCAGGTCTTTTGTCGTCGGGTCAAATGATGTGTCACCTATTAATACCTACCTGACTCTTCAGTTTCATAACCGTCATTCGAATTATCTTCATCGTGTTCTTCAATTATTCGTTGACTATTAGTATGTGTTTCTGGAACCAGCGATAATGCCGCATTTCTTCTTATAGGTGTTCGACGAGAGGAAGAGGGCGTCGTGGGCTCAAATTCATCATCGTCAGAAATTGCCCGTGTTTCATTCCTTCTAATAGGTATTCGACGTGAGAAAGAGTGAGTCGTGGGCTCGAAGTCATCATCTTCGGAAATAACCTGCGTTGCATTCGAGGACTGCCAAGTGGTTTGTTGTCTTGGTGCATTGCGACCAATAATTTGTAAGTCACAAGGAAAATCATTTGCAGGAAGGATTACAAGTCTGTTTTGTTGCAGTTTATTTTCTAGGTCATCTCCAGTTGTTATTTCAGTATCTGGTATAATGGTAATTTTCTTGGACTTCCCTAAACGGTATAATCTAAAGCCACACATATCTAGCAACTGCTGAATATGAGGTGGGTAAAGTCTTATAATGCTTTCCTTAATGTCATCAAGTGTAGAATTTCTAAATACAGTCAAAGGCAACTCAGATTCACCTAAAAGAAATTTTACGTCTTTTTATGTGTATAGGTACTTGTTTGCCTTATGCAAAAAATGTTATGAAGCTTAGGTTGATCATAAAAGTGGCTTGAAAATGTTTAATTTTTTATTGTTTAAAATTTGGGTTTTAAACATGTTTTTAAACGTTTAATAGTATATTAAAGAACTAATGTCATAATACGTCATTTTGTCGCACGAGGAAAATTTATATTATTATTATTATTTTTATTATATTGGTATATCAGTATGTCGAATGAAAAGTTTATTCTTGCAAACGTCAAATCTGTCAAAATCAATTTTTTTTTAATGTATATTATATGATTTAAGCGTTGACTTGACGATTTAAGGTTATTTAAGACAATAAAAATAATCAGAATAATTACTCTGTATATTTTTATAAATCATATAAAATATAACATTATGAAAATTTTTATTTTGACAAATTTGACGTATGCGGGAACAATTTTTTTATTCGACATACAGATATACCAATATACCAATTAAATTATAACATCACGGAAGCGTTTTGAATTTTGCGTTTTTCACATTTCAAAACGCTCTAGCGTTCTCAACAATTGTTTGCAAAACATAGGAAAAAAATTAATAACAAACTCGTATGCGTTATTTCAAATATGCAATAAAAAAATTGCATGACCCAACCCTGTATATTGGGACCAAAGATATAAAAAATAAGACCTTTTTGTGATTGACATTAAATAAATTTTACCTAGTTTAGGCAAAGAAATTACCTTAAGGATTTTAGTAAAATATATACATAAGTAAAAAAAACATAATTTTATGCATAATGCACCTTTTCCAACACTATAGAGTCAATATCCTAGGGAGATTTTAATGTTTGTTTTTTTATTTTTAAGTCAAAAGTTTGTGGTGTTAACTTCTGAAAATAAATACCTCTATAGAGGTATTTATTTTCAGAACAAACCTATGACTCAAAAAAAAACTTTAAAACCTTTATAGAGGTACATATATTTATTTTCGGAATTTTACACCACAAACTGACTCAAAAATAAAAAAATCTTCCATGGGTTATTAAATTTATTGGTGACACCATTAATTGATTATCACAATTTTGAAGTGTCGTTTTCTTCATTTTTGAGTCACATTAATAGGTTTGTAGTGTTAACTTCTGAAAATAAAAACCTACCAATATGTTGCAATGTACATGTACATGTATATCCTCCTCGCACAAAAATCCCGCCCACCATATTACTTTGATATAAATAATTAAAGTTAATTTTATGTCAATATCAAGCTAATTTCGTCCTATTATCTAGAAATATTTTTTTAAAAGTTTGTCAAAGGAAAACTGTAAACTTTGCACCCCTGTAATTTGATAACCAGAGGTAATGGAGAAAATCCTTTAAAAGATTTTTATAATTTAGTAAATTTTGAAAGATTGGGAAAGAAATATTACTTTATAGACCAAGCGGAGAAAGCCTATGTTAAAGCCGAGCATACATTTCACTGTAGATTGTGTGCGAGCAAATTAAAAAGCATTCGCCGCCGGGTTTTATACACAATATTTTTTCAAGAATTTACTTTTAATATTTCCTTAAAGTTTTGTCACATATGAGATAATATATTATTTGTGATATATATCATATTAGGTTAGGTTCAACTAACACGATGACATTTAAGACTCATTTCTGTATGGAGGTTTATAATAATTTGACTTTTGAACTAGTATTAATATGAAGTCTTTCTATAATAATTTTCATATTATGACATTCATTCAAGTCTATATAGAAAGACTTTATATTAATACTAGTTTAAAAGGTAAAATATTAAATACTTGAAAAAAAATAGTATATAAAATACGGCGGCGAATGCTTATTCATTGCCTCTCACACAATCTACTGCCTTGGCAGTGAAATATATGCTTGGCTATAATATAAGCTTTCTCCACCTGATCTATAATACCATTGCCCATATATTGTATCATGTTCAGAAAATGGGCCGAAGCTAGCTTGACAATGACAAAAGATTAACCTCAATTATTTATGTCTTAAATACTTTACGAGCACTCTATTTAAGGATACCACAAATTAACTGTTTTATTGCTATAGGTAGTATTGTTTAAAAAAATATTATTTCAAAATTAACTTATACATACCAAGCCCCCTTTCTTTCAGAAATTTTAGTTCCGCAGTTGTTGGATAAAAATCGGCGTGAGCCAATTTTAAAAGAGTAACCTTTTTATGGAAACTTGACTTTCTTTTCCGGCCTCTTTTATTATCTACGCAATTTCTCCTAAAACTCATCCTTGTCTGTGATATTAGTGAAGACAAAGTTCTCTCTTCTGGGGTTGGTTCCAACACATTTGCTGCTGCTCTTATTAAACGTGTTGCAATTTCCGATTCGTTTCCATGTCTTTTTCTATGATTGTAGTAGTTACCTTTTAAATTAAAAATTATGTAATAAAAGAAGAAAAACATTTAAAACTTACCTTATGAAAATAAGGAGAACATAACCCGAACCTCTCCACATATTGGCGCCAAAGTTGACGTAGAGAAATTACGCATAAATACCTACTATGCATTTGAACTACTGCACAAAATTTTTAAAATATTTTTAAACAGTTTACATATTATTTCGTTAGTTGAATTAATATTTGCATCATTTAAATTTGGTCCATTTTTATTTCGTATGAGGTTCTTTATTTTTATACTGTGAAATTTATATTGGAATTATTGTGAGACTAAAAACATTGTTGAACAATTTTTTTTGTAAACAAGATTTTTAAACTATTTTATTTTAATCTTTTATTTTTTAAGTTGCAATTTCCTATTTATAACACGACAATCATTTTTATTTTACAATTAATTTTATCTGTACACATAAAATTAATTCTAATAAAAATGATACAATTAATTTTATGTGTACACATAAAATTAATGCAATGAATTTTAATGTTACAATTAAAATTTTGACTTTACATAATAAAAATTATAGAATTAATTTTATCTAGATAAAATTATATAATTAATTTTATCTAGATAAAATTAATTCGGCGCTGTGGTAGTGCGGCTGAAAGTGGCAACTGCAGTAGTTCATGTGCATAGTATATGTTTTATATTGAACAAAACTTTTTTTAAGGATTTATAAGCTCAGGCAGGCTTTCGAACAGTTCCAACAATCAATAACACAAAAACCACAAACAGATCTCTCGCATATTGGCGCCAAACTAGACAATCTTTGATAAATTAAACGTGTCTACTATATGATCTACTGCAGTTGCCACTTTCGACCGCACTTTAAAGCGCCGAATTAATTTTATCTAGATAAAATTAATTATATAATTTTATCTGGATAAACTTAATTATATAATTTTATCTAGATAAAATTAATGCAATGAATTTTAATGTTACAATTAAAATTTTGACTTTACATAATAAAAATTATAGAATTAATTTTATCTAGATAAAATTAATTCTAAAATTTTTATTTTTATTATAGTATAGTAATAATTTTAATTACATAATAAAAATTCAGTGCATTAATTTTATGTGTACACATAAAATTAATTGTATCATTTTTATTAGAATTAAAATTTGCGTAGACATAAAATTAATTATGGCACGCCGTTTTACTTTTTAATTGTATAAGAAATATTAAGTTAAATATTAATGTGTCACAAAAATATTGCAGACAGAAAAATTACATTAAATAAATAATTCAACATCTTATATAAACATGACATGACATGTATAATTCTAATTAATGTATTATTTTGAAGGTATTATTTTTCAGTGAAATTTATTTTTAAAGTATTAATATTTAACTTAATATTTTTTATCCGATTAAAAAGTAAAACGGCGTGCCATAAGTGTCTGTTATTTTTTTTTGAATTAGTTTTATTATTCACGATATTAATTAAGGTGATGATCTTAAAGAAGTAATTGTTAGGTTTTTATTATTTATTAGTAAATCTTTTTGCTTAATAAGCTCTTTTAGATAGTATATCTCCACTGCCAACGGATCATCTAAGTTTACAGAAGGTGTGGTATTTATATTATCTTCGTTAATTTCGCAACATTCCATTTGTGTCTCATTAATCATTTTTACATTTTTTATTTTTGCACAGCTAGGATGCATGACCGATTCACATGTAATACATGTATAAAATGAGTTTGGAACAAGTTTTTTGCAACGTTTGCATGATTTGGTAGTTGTTTCAGACATTATATTGAGTATCTTAAACAGGGTTTGCTAAAAATCTCCACTACTGGCGGTAGCACAGTCGGTTGAGTATGTCATGGATCAGGCAAATAAATTCTACACTACGAAACTACACCAACACCCGTTAACACGCCATATAACTACGCTCAGACAACACCACAATGCGCGCTATAAACATGGCCTGATCTATGGCAGATTGCCGATATTTCGCGACCCCCCGGTGCATCACCGCGGTAGCTTAACCCTCAGAACAATACGCGACGTGGGAGATGTCTGACGATTTAGGGCTTTATGGTTCTCGACCTTCAAGACATCTTCAACCAGACTTTCAACATCCCCTTCAAATCCAACCGTAGTACCATGGTGCTGCAGGTCTTTTTCTAAATTCTTTTCTATCTTTTGTGTATTTTTTCCAAATTTTTTAAGAGGGTTTTTTGAATTATTTTTCCCTCGAAATCATTCTTTTAAATTCTTCAACATCATCATTCTTTTTCCGCCAATTTTCTAGACTTTTTATTCTTCTACCCGGATCAAGCTGGCCTCACATTCGCTCTGCGAGAAAAGGCCAGACAAGCTCCATGCTAATAAATAGGGCTTAATACAAGGGACAAAGACCGTCGGAAGACTGCGCTGCTACCACCCGTACCACGCATCTTCACCGCAGGGAGGCTCAAGAGGTGGAACCACACTTCCACGCGCCTCTTTACAGCCAACTACATCACCACATTGCGGCCTTTATTATTTACCCTTTTTATGATCTGTAATTATTTAATTTAGAAATATATTGATTTTGATTTTGATTTTGATTTTGATTTGTACGAAACGGATCCTCCACAGCCGCGGCGACCCGAGATCGAATCCCAGTCGCGGACTCTTTTTTAATTTTGTTAAGAATCAAATAAATTGTTTTTATCAATAATGTTTTTACATTCACTCACTTTTTATCGGTTAAACTAATTTCGTACGATGATAAATCTGTTTTAACTAATGTAAAATCCCATACCATCAACACCATCTAACACGATATTTATACAAATCATAGTCTTGACACTTTATACACACTAACAAAAGTTTATTAATTTTTATTGAATTATCAACACATATTTCATATTTCATATTTCATGTACTTTGATCGGAGCACCATAAAACACGTCCTGACATTAATAATATTTATTTAATAAAGCATATAATATAATATAATGTAAGGATCCCGTGGCAAAAGAATGGTGCAATTGGCTTTGGCTAAAGCAAAGTAAGTAGTATTCTTTTTATTTGGAAAAAGTGAGGTTATGTGCATGAATTATTCGAGAATTACTTAATAATATTATTAAAATAAATATTTTTTTATCCTATACAAGATTAGGGAATTTCTGTTCTAGTAATGATTAGCGAATTGGCAATTTTACTTCTTTTTTTGGTATTTTTTACTGGAATAAATTTTTAAATTTGGAAAAAAATATCAATTTTTCCTAATTGTTAGCAAAAATTCGTTAGTTTTAGCAATTTTATTTTTTTTCTATCTGAACTATCCTTGATTAAATTTATCGGTAATTTTCAGGAAGTATACTATTTTTACGCCTCTAAAACTGCACAGGAAAAAGTTTACTATTTTACCTTTTTTAAAACATGACACTATGGAATTTTTGTGAAAAAAACATAGATTGAAGATTTTAGACACATTTTTAGTTCTTTGATAATTGAGACAGGATGAAATTTATATCAAATATTTAGGTGTTCCAATACTTTTGTCCCTCACTGTATTTATTATCTTTTAGGATAATACATGAGGCGTTTTCCGATTATGATAAAAAAGGAGAAACACCTGCTCCGTCTTCCGTACTAAGAGATATAAAAGGCCAATTGGAAAATATATCAAATGAGTATTGTGTGCAATCATCTAAAGAAAACTGTCATTGAAGAAAAAGGTTTTGATGAAGAATATGCTCCCAGCAGCTGCCACTTGGAATCGGATTCAGATAGTTCATCTTACAGTGATAACATACCACTGCAAGACCTTGTACAAAAAAAATTACACCAAAATAATAGCCATTCATAGCCAGTCGAATGCTATTATCGAAACATCAGGGAATCCAAGCGAAATATACCGGATTGACAATGTCCAAACCTGGAAAAAATTCTGAACGGTGTCGATGCCGCTGAACAAAATATAAGAACCTCCCAAGTTCTTCAAAACCCGGAAGACGAAGCTTTGCCTAATACTATTCAGACCATAAAGATAGATCCATCAGCAATCTTTTCAAATACAGAAATCATTCCTGCTGTAGGTGAGTGTATAGAAGGTCATAATATTGACGCTGTTGTTGAGGAGATGCAGACAGTACAAGTTGCAGCAAATGGCGAAAACTCAAATGATGAAATAATAGGAAAGAAAACAAAAAGAAGAAATGGTTTTGAAAAACAACAAAAGGATAGAGAAAAGCACCCACCCATTGGAGGATGTTTATTGAAATGTAAAAATAAAGACTGTTCAGAAATAACGGAAGAGGACAGAAAGAAAATTTGGGATAAATTCTGGAGCCTTCAGTATTCAGTTAGACGTCAGTGGTTGTGCCGACATGTCCGATTTTGTCAGGTTCAAAAAAGAACTGTTCAGCCTAAGAGTACCACAGTTTCCACAAAGCCTAGTGAAAATTTAGATGGCGATACATCCGAAGAAGAAACAGGACGCTCTTTTTTAAAAAACGAATCAAGAGAGTACTTCTTACCTAAACCATTCCTAGGATACAAACAAACTAAAGTTTGTAAAAAAATGTTTCTTGGTACTCTTGGATATTGATTCAGTTATAACGAAACTTTCAAGCGCAATTAAAAAAACTAAAGTTGGGGAAAGAATTGGTGCAAATCGGGGAAAATCGACTCCTAGTAGTAAAATTGATCGTGACATCATTGTAAATCATATTGAAAGCTTTGGTCCATCTCTGAGTCATTACAGAAGATATAATGCTCCGAACTGTCGCTATTTATCAAGAGATTTGACCGTTCAAATAATGTACGAAGACTTTTTGACAAAACATCCAGATTTCTGGAATCTTACAGAAGTACATTAAAAACTTTGAATATCTCTCTCAAAATGCCTAAAGGAGACCGTTGCGCTGAGTGCTTATTTTATGAAGCAGCAATTGAGGATGAAAAAAGGAAAATCGTTTAGTTGATCCGAAATTACTAGCTAAAAATGAAAATCATGACCTCAAGGCAAGTCAAGCTAAGACCTTATATAATTTTGATAAAACCAGGACTAAGAAAAACTAAATGAGAGAATATATTCGATGGACCTTCAGAAAGTGATTTTGTTGCCCATAATGCCTCAAATTAAGGACAGTTTCTTTATAAGTCGCCTTGTAGTGTACAACGAAACCTATGCAATAATGAATATCGGCTACACATATAAAAGTGTGGCTGTTGTCTGGCACGAGGCACTACAGGGGCGAAACGCAGATTCCATTGTAGACACAATCTATACCATTATGAACATGGATGACGCGATGTCTTTACATTCTGGGCCGACAACTACACGAGCCAAAATAACAATTGAATCATGTATTCCTCTTTAGTCTTTATGGTAAATCAACAGACGGGACCACAACAAATTATAATAAGATACTTAACTATATGTCCGCTGACTCTATGCATGAAAACATCGAAAGAGCTATGCGTTCCGCAGTATCCATAGATAACTTTGATGAATTTGTGAGAATAGTTCAAAGGTCCAGAGAACAACTGCATGTTGAAAAACAAGAAATCTTTCGAGAGTGGAAAAGCAAGAAGCGCATAAATACTAATCGTCAAAAGGTGATGGAAGATGCAAACACCCAGAAACTTGGAATTGCCCCTAATGTACTCCTACAAGACATTGTTGAAGTTAAATTTGTTAAAGGTAAACGTGAGCTTTTCTATAAGACCAGTTTTGAATCTGATCAGTATGAAGAGTTTGACTTTCTCCAGAAAAAAGTTTGCTTCACACCAACAACTCCTTCCTATAAAATGTACCTATCGCGGTATAAATACAGCGAAATAAGCTACTATAATCAAGGACCTATTACCAAAAATGAAAAACATCAATCATCGTGCGTTTTGGCTAAATCTTCCTGAGAGTGAGCAATCGCGTGATTTAAATAATCAAGTAGACAATTAATGCTATGATAACCTTTCCTTAAATAATAAGGCAGAGCTAGATAATCTTCAGGTGGTGATATAATTGCAATCAATATATTTTTCCATAAAATCATTAATATTCTTACTTCTTTCATCCAAAGTATCAGGGAACACAATCCAGTTGGCTAATAGGTAATTATTTATATTTGTCACTTCACTTATACATCGACTGGTGCTGCAAGCCGGAGGCCGTGGGTTCGAATCCCACCAGGGGTATGGCTGTTTATTTGTGTTTGTCCTATTGTGTAATAATCCTTCGGAGGCGACTTTAAGCCCGCGGTCCGTTCCTACCCCTAACCCGCACAAGCCATTCAGTTGGCTTATGGGACTTCTTAAGAAGTAAGGGTGGAACTAAAAGAGCACTTTTGTATATAAACTTTTTTTTGTATGACATTAAATCTATTATCCAGTTTACAAAGTGTAATAACTACTACCACGCCAAATGTGAAAATGCGGAGTTAAAAGGTTTTCATCTAAGAAAATCAAATTGGAGTTGCCAATTTTGTGATGATGGAACCGAGATAATGCAAGAAGGTGGTAGATCTAGGAAAAGAAGTCGCACGGATTTTACAAGCTATATAGAGACCGACTTTTTAAAGCAAGTTCTTGAAGAAATCAACTATCTAGTAAACACAACAGAAAAAATTAATGAAAAGATGGACCAACTTAAAAAGGAGAATACAAAATTGAAAGAAGAAATAAACAAAATTAAATCTGAAGAGAATTCTACTATAAAAACTGTGTCGTACTCCTCAGCTCTTAAATCCGACAGTAAAGTATTGGTTATTAAACAAAAAAATGGTGCTAAAGACGTACAAAAAATCAAGGATGATTTGAAAAATAAGGTAAACCCTAGTGATATTGGTGCTGGTGTAACAATGGGTAGGCAAACGAAAAATGGAGGCCTTATGCTCAACTGTGGAGCAGAAAAAGAAATAAGCACTATACAGGCACAGATACAAAATCAAATGTGGGACACATATGAAGTAGATAGGCCGAAGTTGTTAAACCATAGAATATGAGTTATCGGATGAGGAGATTCTTTCAAAGGTACTAAATCAGAATGGAATCGAAAAAAAAAGAAAACACGAGTGTAAAAATATTGCGAAAAACTAAAGTGTTAAATAAAAAGTTTAAAATCATTTTTGAGATGGACACTGATTCATACAATTTATTTACTCTCTAAAAATGAAATAGTCAAAATTCTACTATTTGAATTAGTAAAAGCATTTTTTACTAATAAAATAGTCGTTTTCACTTTTAAATAGTTATTTTTTACTATGTAAATAGTTAAAATTTGACTAATTTAAGATTAGTCACCATATTTGACTATTTCTGACAGTTAAAAGTAACTAATTTCTTTAGTCGTTTACGGCCAACAACAAAGTATTATTTGAATTAAATGCATATACCTCTCCATGGTTAAATGACCCATAAAACAAATAAAGATGCAAAAAGTTTAGCTCAAAATAGCAAGACAAATAATATATTAAACTTTAAAATATTATGAACCATATTTATTGACAAATAAAATTAATTTTTATAAGAGCGGCTGACAGCCGAATGCGTTAAGACGTTAGCTTGACAAACTTGTCAAGTGACAGACCTGAGTTCAATCCCAGGCTGGGTAAAAACTTTTTTTAAATTTAAATTTACTAATTTGACTATTTCATTCAGTGGAATTTGACTAATTACACTGGTTTACAAATTAAAATTAAAAAAATGTACCTTCGCTGCCACTATTTTTTTCTAATGTATTGTGACCTGTTAAACTTAAAAATCAAAAAAAAAAAAATTATGGCAAGGTTTTTGAGATAAAATTTTTTCTTTAATATTTTGGTTCTTTAAGAAAGCAGCTCTACAATTTGGGTCATATCTCGGGTTAGAAATGGCCAATCTGGTTGAAAAAAGTTTAAAATTAAACATATTTGAGTCGCCAACAAATATCACCTTATTAGTGACCAATCAGTTAATAAGCTTAAGTTCAATGGGCTCAAATATTGGAAAAAGTAGTTTTTTTTTTGAGAAAAATGAGAATGTAACATTATTTTCTTTGCCAAGGATGAATACAAATCAACAAAATATGTCAATTTTTAAATTATCTACGTGGAGTTCAAACTGTTATAAAGAAAACAAGATATTTTTAAAACAAATGATGATAATTATTATAATTAAAGGGGTTAATGCAAAAAGTGGACAGGTAAATTTTTTTCAGAAATTAAGTTTTTTACAAAAAAAGGTTCTATTTGCCTAATAGAACCTTTTTACTGTTAAATAAATTTTATTTTATATTTTAATATTAAAATACAGTGTGTTCCTTTTAAAACTAACCCCCCTAAATTCTCGGAAACTAGAAGTATTTTAAAAAACGCAGAGACAGATAAAGTTTTATATCGAGGGGGAAAACTTTTTAAGGCAAAATTTGGTTTCCCACCTTTACCTTCTGCGCCCCGGAGTTACCCCCTTAAGAATTTAAATAGAGAAGGGGTACAGAGTACTACATTATTTTAAAGGTCTTGAAAATCCCTATTAAACGGCATTTTATTTTTTTTAAATTGGTCAGTTCATTTTTTAGATATCGTGGGTTGAGTATTATAATGTTCTAACAGCACTTTTGGCGCGAAATCGGCTTTTTTGATAGAAAAATAGTACATAAAATTTCTGTTCTATGTATATAAAAATGCCTGTTTAATTTAATACACAAACTAAAAAAAAAGCATTATTAAATAATTTAATTATTGTTCTATCGCACTTATTTAAAAACGGTTTAAAATTATAATATCCTAACAGACCAACCAATGAGAGAAGAGAATTTTGATCTGTTAGAACAATATAATTTTTGCTGTTTCAGTTTTGTATGCAAGTAATAATCACGTGGTTGTGCAGTGCAATTAAAAAAAAAAGAATACGTAGGTATGTTCTTATTTAAGGAATACTTCTTAGAACCCTAAAGTTTTGGAATTCTTTAGAACTAAAAACTTTTAGTTTTAAAGAATTTTGTATGCTGTTAGAACAAAATCTGATGTTTTTTGTAAAATTTTCGTTTTCAATAAAAAAAAATGTTCTATCAAAAATTGTTTATTTTGTAAAACCCAGTATTGGAAGAAATAAGTTCAAATAGGGACAATACATTTTTTTAATTCTTAAGGATATGAGTCCAAAACCAGTATTTAAAATTATAAAAATCTTTACAAACGGTATTAGAATGAGCCTGGAATATTTAATCGCCTTTTCCCAACCATTTCATTTTGGATTTATAGAACAATATAATACTCAACCCACGATATGTACAAATTATTAAGGGGTGTCATAACTTTGACATTTATCCATAGAATTACTACTTGTAGATATTCAAAAAATGGGCATATTTTAATGATTTTTGCTTCTTTTTGGTAAAATAGTAAATACTTAATTCTAATTTTGTCCAAAAAATTGACTTTTTCTCGATATTTGGCCCCATTGCACCTAAACTTATTGACTAATTGGGCATTTATACAATTACATTTGTTATTATGTTAATTAGGTTTAATTTGACATCTGTTGTAATCAAATTGGCCATTTCAAACTCGAGATATATCCCAAATAGTAAAGCCGGCATCGAAAAATCAAAGACAATTTTTTATTTGGAAAATCTTGCCATAAAAAAAAATTTTATTGTCATTTTCGAGTTTAGCAGGCCAAAATACATCAGAAAAAAATAGTCGCACTCAAGGTACATTTTGACTGTAAACCAGTGTTATTAGTGACTGCTTTTTCACTATGACAATTAGACAAATATGACTTATAATTAGTTATTTTTGACTAATTCATTTTAAGAGAGTATTGAACGGAGAAAATGAACATTGGGTGGTATGTTGTTTAGTGACTTTGGAGTAATAATAATAACCAATCAGTTAATAAGCTTAAGTTCAATGGGCTCAAATATTGGAAAAAGTAGTTTTTTTTTGGAGAAAAATGAGAATGTAACATTATTTTCTTTGCCAAGGATGAATACAAATCAACAAAATATGTCCATTTTTAAATTATCTACGTGGAGTTCAAACTGTTATAAAGAAAACAAGATATTTTTAAAACAAATGATGATAATTATTATAATTAAAGGGGTTAATGCAAAAAGTGGACAGGTAAATTTTTTTCAGAAATTAAGTTTTTTACAAAAAAAGGTTCTATTTGCCTAATAGAACCTTTTTACTGTTAAATAAATTTTATTTTATATTTTAATATTAAAATACAGTGTGTTCCTTTTAAAACTAACCCCCCTAAATTCTCGGAAACTAGAAGTATTTTAAAAAACGCAGAGACAGATAAAGTTTTATATCGAGGGGGAAAACTTTTTAAGGCAAAATTTGGTTTCCCACCTTTACCTTCTGCGCCCCGGAGTTACCCCCTTAAGAATTTAAATAGAGAAGGGGTACAGAGTACTACATTATTTTAAAGGTCTTGAAAATCCCTATTAAACGGCATTTTATTTTTTTTAAATTGGTCAGTTAATTTTTTAGATATCGTGGGTTGAGTATTATAATGTTCTAACAGCACTTTTGGCGCGAAATCGGCTTTTTTGATAGAAAAATAGTACATAAAATTTCTGTTCTATGTATATAAAAATGCCTGTTTAATTTAATACACAAACTAAAAAAAAAGCATTATTAAATAATTTAATTATTGTTCTATCGCACTTATTTAAAAACGGTTTAAAATTATAATATCCTAACAGACCAACCAATGAGAGAAGAGAATTTTGATCTGTTAGAACAATATAATTTTTGCTGTTTCAGTTTTGTATGCAAGTAATAATCACGTGGTTGTGCAGTGCAATTAAAAAAAAAAGAATACGTAGGTATGTTCTTATTTAAGGAATACTTCTTAGAACCCTAAAGTTTTGGAATTCTTTAGAACTAAAAACTTTTAGTTTTAAAGAATTTTGTATGCTGTTAGAA